GTTTACTTGCTAACTGGGCTTGGTACTCATCAGACACCAACTGCTTAATAAACGGGATGTTTTCTTCAGAAAGATGCTCATCCCACCACGTGCAACTCTTGCTGTGGAGACTTCGTACAAAAAGGCAGAGAAGCGTCCTGTTACAGAAAAACAAAACCAAGAAAGCAGGACTCAAGAGTTTCCTCTAGGCAACGGAGGGCAGGGAGGTCTGCGCAGGTGCAGGGCCCAGGAGAAAGGACTGGGATTGTGTGTGTGGGTTTTTCTCTAACACGTCTCGGACATTCTAACCAGGAATGGTCAACCTGTAGGAAAGTTCATCTCGTCCTCTGAGTTAGACAGATTCCTGGCAGGATGCATGTGAAACCACCCACACATAAGAAGGTGCTAAGCTTTATTCCCAGAGGAGGTGCCAGAACCTTCTCTACAGTGGCCTGGCCAAGGTTGAGAGAGATAAACTAGCTGGGCAACGTTCAAAGAGCCACAGAAGAAATACCCTTCACTTCTTAGCATGCACGTCTGACCAGGTGAAGACACATAGGGAATGGAGCTTGGAGACAAAACTGACCGACTCACCGTCACGGAGTCAGATCTGACTCAGAGCTAACCGTTCAGTGGGTCTTTAGATTCTGTAAATCCCTTATGAGGAGACTGCCCACCTTTGTCCTGCGCCAGAGAAGGAGACTGGCCTTCTTTCTCCTGTCACCTCTCTTCTATGTTCAGTGGGTGGGTCTGAACCACTTGCCTTGGGGATGGCTGTGTAACTCCTTACTAAATAGGCTACAAGAGTTTTGCAATTCTCCTCTTCACAAAAGAAGTGAAGCTTCCTGAAGTCTGAACTGTCTCCTGGAGTCAGGTCTGTCCCCACTGTTGTTATGAGGAGTCACTGGAGCTGCCCACACTCACAGTGACCATCGGAACAGATCTTGACCTGTCCCGCACGGTCCTCACCACGTGACACGCTTGAGCCCACAGTTAGTCTCCACTAACATTGGTGACCTTGAGCAGGTGACTTTCTCAAAGCCCCATTGTCATATAAACGTGGAATAATGGCAGTTCTGTTAAAGGGCTCATGACTTTGGCTCCTCTGTAAGTGCAAGAAGGCCCTCATCCACGTAGCACAGTGTCCAGACATAGGACCCAACCACCGACTGGAAGGTACTAGGACCACAGTGGTGGTAACGCTCACTGACAGTCACTGGTTGTTGGGGGAATCACCCTTCGATCCCTTTGGGTCCCAGGCCTGGGCGATGTCCCTTTCCTGCCCAGCCCAGGATTTCTGTAGGCGGACGCCCAGAGCAGTGTGCGGTGCCTACCTGTCCCTGCACTCCTGTCCCCTGAGCTCCCTGCAGTAGCCATCTACCCACATCTGCCTGTCCACTGACCAGTGGGCAGCATCGTCCCCACACCTGCCTGTCCCCTGAGCACCAGGCAGCGCCCTCTTGCCCCACACTCTCCTGCCCCCCAAGGATTCGGCAGTGCCCATCTGTCCCCGCACCCACCTGTCCTCACACCCACCTGTCCCCTGAGCGGGCAGCTCCCACCTGACCCCACGCCTGCCTGCCCCTGGAGCACGACACAGTGCTCACCTGTCCCCACACTCACCTGACCCCCGAGGACGGCCTAGTGCTCACCTGTCCCCACACTCACCTGACCCCCGAGGACGGCCTAGTGCTCGCCTGTCCCCACACCCGCCAGTCCCCCGAGCACCGGGCAGC